CTTTTTGTTGTTGTTGTTGTTTTTTTTTTTTGAGATAGTTTCTCTGTGCAGCCTTGGCTGTCCTGGAAGTCAATCTGTAGACTAGGCTGGTCTTGACCTCACAGAGATTGGCCTGCCTCTGCCTCCCTAGTGCTGGGATTAAAGGCATGTGCTACCGCCCCCGGGCACACAGCAAGCATTCTTTTTTTTTTTTTTTTTTTGGTTTTTCGAGACAGGGTTTCTCTGTGTAGCTTTGCGCCTTTCCTGGAACTCACTTGGTAGTCCAGGCTGGCCTCGAACTCACAGAGATCCGCCTGGCTCTGCCTCCCGAGTGCTGGGATTAAAGGCGTGCGCCACCACCGCCCGGCTCACAGCAAGCATTCTTATCTACTGAGACATCTCTCCAACTTTTGTTGTTGTTGTTGTTATTATTATTATTATTATTATTATTATTATTATTATTATTATTTTGAGATAGGGTCTCGCTAGCTGCCCAGACCAGTTTTGAACTCCCTGTGTAGCTCAGGCTGGCCTCCAACTCACAAACATTCTACCTTAGCCTCCCAAGTGCTGGGATTACAAATCCCTACCACCACATGCACTCCTGCACTCAGCTTTCCCCACAATTTTCCCTCTATATAGCAATTCTGTCCTTCCAGTTGATATGGCTAAATTTCTCGGAGCTATGTTTCACTCCCCGCTTTCTATCACATCTCTGTATGTCTCATCAACAAACTATGTTGACTATACACTGAAAGTACAGTCGTTATTTGGTATCTGGTTCCTTTAGAGGATACAGAAACCCATGGCTGCGTATCTCCCCTGCCCCCAACCTTCTTTACTTCTCTGAAGCACTATCAAACAGAGCCTCATAAATGCCACAAAAGTGTTCTACTGTCGAGTTGATAGGCCCAGCCCCCATTCTGCTTACTTTACACTGTCTCTAGATTATTTGACATCTAACACAGTGTGAGTCATGCATTAATAGTTGTGTATGGAACGGTCACGAGGTAAGTCTCTACACATGTTGTACAGGTGTTAGTTATATATTTAGCTGTGTTAAGGATTGAATCCATGCCTGCCAGGCTGGTTGGTGCTCTTCCGCTGAACTCTGACCTCAGTGTCACCCCATCCACTTTTTCACTTTTTCTTTTGAGAGAAAGTCTTTCCATGTTACCTAGACTGGTCTGAAATTGTGTGCTGCTGGCCCAGGCAAATGTTGAACTGTGACCATTCAGTCTCAGCCCCCCAAGTAAATGGGATTACAGGTTTGTGCTGCCCGGCATGGCCAAATGCAGGATTTTTTTTAATTTAAATTTTCTTTTATGTATATGAGTGTTTGTATACATGTATATGATGTGCATCAGAGGGGCCAGACAGAAGATGTCAGATCCCCTGGAACTGGAGTTACTGTCAGGTGTGAGCTGCCTTGCAGGTGCAGGGAATAGAACCTGGGTCCTCTTGAAGAACAGCCGGTACTGTTAAGTGGTTAGCCTTCTCTTCAGCCTCCAGGATTTTTTTTTTTTTAAGACAAAGCCTCTCTATGTAGCCAGAACAGCCTTGAACTCAAGATTTTCCTGCTTTGGCCTTCTGAATGCTAGGGTTGCAGAACTGCATAAAATTCAGATTAAAAAAACCCTATTTTCCAACAAATTTAAAATTTTATCTTACATTTATTTGTGTGTGTGTGTGTGTGTGTGTGTGTGTGTGTGTGTGTGTGTGTATGAATGTCCTTTGAAGGTCAGAGTTTTGTGGTTTTTTTTGAGACAGTCTTATTATGTAGCACTGGCTGACCTGAAACTCACTATGTAGACCCGGTTGGTCTTGAACTTGTGCCTCCTTAGTGCTAGGATTACAGGTGTACACTGCCATACAAGCCGAGTCTTCAGTTTTCAGCCCCTGAGTTTTTATTCTAACCTTGGCCTCTCAGCTTTCTGAAAGAACCAGCATCCTCGCCTTACCTTGGGAATTGCCATCATCAAGCTGGCTCAGGACTTGGAGCAGGTTACCCTCCAGGGTTCCAGGCTGGTTTCTTAGATGTGCTCAGGCTTTCCATTTGTCTCAAAGAACCTGCTTTTCCCTGTAGGTTCTAAGTTCTTCTCTTTCTTCCTTTCCGTGTGTGTGTGTGTGTGTGTGTGTGTGTGTGTGTGTGTGTGTGTGTGTCAATGAGCAGCTGTACATATGAACTCAGAGCAGTTATGGCAACATGTACAAGTCCAGTGTAAGCTCAAGCCAAACCAAATCTCAGCAGGGAGAAGGGAGCTAGACATGAAGTCTTACCCCTAGCCCAGGATCCATTGGGAACTGATGCTGTTGGGAGGGAGAAAGTCAGTTTCTTCAACAGCATTATTCCTGAGAGGTTGACCATGCTCCCGTGGAAGGCCACACCATCCCTGAATAAATGGGCACAGCAAACTGAACATGATGTGGAAAAAAAAAAAGAGGGACACAAAGTTGGTTAGGTAGGGAAGGGAGGTGGATCCAGAAAGAGTTGGGGGTGTTGATTGGTCATAATTCATTATGTCTCAAAAAATAACTTTTTAAAAAGGAAAAATGTTTTAAAAAGAAATAAAAGAAAAAAGAATTAGTAGGCTAGCCATAACAAAATCTCACGTACCCTTATAGAACTCTTGAGAATACCACTGGGCATCTGTATCCTTCACAGTCTTTTGTCTCATGCTTCCAGCAATCTAGGTTGTGCTAATCTTCTCACACCCATTTTATCCACTGAGCTCCAGACAGATGAAGTAAGTTCCTGAGTTCATACAGATGAGCTTGGTCTCAAGAAAGACAGATGAGAGGCTGGAGAGGTGGATCAATGGCTAGGAGTACTTGTTCTTACAAAGGACCTAGGTTCAGTTCCCAGCACCCACATGGTGGTTCACAGTCATCCATAACTCCAGTTTCAGGGGGTCCAAAGCCCTCTTCTGACCTCATCAGGCACCAAGCATGCACATGGTATACAAACATACATTTGAGCAAAACACTCATACACATAAAAATGAAATAAATCAATGGATGGTGGTGGCACACGCCTTTAATCCCAGCACTTGCGAGGCAGAGGCAGGCAGATCTCTGTGAGTTCAAGGCCAGCTATTTAAGACCTGGTCACCTGGTCGCCAGACCTGCCTTGTGCTCTCCCTCCTACCTTCCAGGAGTTACTTTCCTTTGCTTATTAAACCTGGACTTGGCCGTCGGTGGTGGCACACACCTTTAATCCCAGCAATCAGGAGGCAGAGGCAGGTGGATCTCTGTGAGTTTGAGGCCAGACTGGTCTCCAGAGAGAGATCCAGGACAGGCACCAAAACTACACAGAGAAACTCTGTCTTGAAAAAAACAAAACAAAACAAACAAACAAAAAACCCCCTGGACTTATTAATTCAGCTTGATTGGCTTATTGCATTGGCGGAGGAATACCCGGGATCCAATACTTATCACAAATAAACAAAAGTAATAAAAGGTTAAATTTTATTATTTAAGCACAACACATACAATCTAGTTGACAGAGTGGGAATAATTCTGTGAAACCATTAGAACCCTTTCTCTCTATTGGTGGTAAAGATTAGGGGAGTGGAGATGTTGGTGGGGCCTGGTATAGGAAATGAGTAAGAACTGCTTCTGGTGGCCTATTAGCTGCATTCCTTGAAAGGGAAAAATGCATAATTTATTAACTGAGTTACATAATTCCAGTGACATCGTTTATAATAGACTTGTACAGACTGAGCTGATCAGGTTGTAAAGGGCTTTGAATGCCACACTAGGGAGACTAGATTTTATCCTATGGCTATTGTGGGTCATGAACGGTTTTACAGTCAGGATATGCCTTAAACAGATTAACTGCAGTTCTGAATGTCTGTCACCAGGTATCTGTTTGGGGTGGAGTTTGTAAAGAATCATCAGTAAAAGCCGGTCTTCCCTGAGGCAAGCAAGCTCATGTTGCGTTTCTCGTTACTCATGCTCAGGAGAGCGTTAACACGGACTAGGTCTACTGGGAGGATGTAGACACAGATCTGACAAGTCCTTTGTAGATATCTGTGGAGCATATTCAGAGCTCAGAGATGCACACATGCTCTGGCCGGAGGGAATCCAGGAAAGCCTCCAGGGGGAAGTAGGTAAGAGGAAGCCAGTTTCTGAAAGAGTAGGAAGTGAGTGAGCAGATGAGGAAGCTGGAACATGGTGAAATAAGGGCTCTGTGGGCAGTTTGGCTATAGGGGAGGGTCAGGGTCCCATGGTAGAGAGCTTTATGTGCCCAGTTGAGGGACTTATGTCTCCTTCCTGAAGGTGATGACAAACTATTAAGGACTGATTAATACTGGATATCGGTTATTGTGGCTTGAAAGAAGCTATGGAAAGGGATGGATGGTGTGTTTTCAATCCCTCCCTCCCCCCCCACACACACAGTTTGGCAAACATTTCATTTCTATAAATGTCATCCGGTGATACTGGTTGATAATGCTCGTTTGATCTTTTATACATTTTTAAATTTGCCAGCTGCCTCATTTTAATGAGTTACTGAGTTTGCTCTCTAACTCACTAGGTTGGCTTTGAACTCCCCGTCTTCCTGCCTCAGTCTCCAGAGGGTGGGGATTACCGAACGCTCCCCCACATTCTAGGCCAGATCCTTTACCAACGGATTTGTCTATTGCTCCTTTCGTTTGGAAGTCTTCCTGACTGACAGCTTGGTGGTCAGGTAAATACAAATGGCGGTGACGATAGAACATTTGCTTGGGATCGGAAAAAAAAAATGTTTTATCGCTTTAAATTTACTACAGAATGCAGGAATTAAGTAAGAATCACTATGTAACTAGCAGGCCTGGTGGAGCCTAGGACAAAAGAAAAAAAAAAAAAAAGGAGTCTGGCTATTCGGCCACGCCCCTTGCCTGGGTTGGCAAGGCAACTGCTACCAGACAGCCAATCGGTGAGAGACTCACCTGCGGGGGCGGGGACTCCCCAGGAGCCAATGGGAGGTCGGGCCGATGGTTCCGCAGGCCAATGGGTTGGGCAACGGGGCGGGCTTTTTGATGAAGGGCCGGCGGTGGGAAAGATGGCGGCGGTTGTGAGACCCTCCTGGTGGCGGCGGTGGCGGCTGCGCGCGTGGGCTCGGGACGGGGCCAGGCTATGGCTCCTTCTCCTTTTGCTGGGGTCTGTGCAGGGGCCGTGGCACGTCAGGGCGGGCCAAGCGGTGGAGTACTTGAAACGGGAGCACTCGCTGTCGAAGCCCTACCAGGGTGAGGCGCCCGGGACGAGGTGGTCGCGCAGGGGAGGGCGGGCATGGGGACGGTGAGCTCGGGGACGCAGGTCAGGGTAGCTCTGCAGACGCTGTCACCAGCGGGAGGGGGCGCCCCCGACGATCCCCGCTGCTTCAATGAGCCACAGGTCCCAAGGACAGGGTCCGCCCCCACCCCGTCCCTTTCCGAGCGCTGGAAGTTTCTAGTAGGTCTAGGCAGAGCTCTCAGATGTCACCAGTGTCGGGCTCAGAGGAAGGAGTTTGGATTTGGACAGAAAAAGTACAAGAAGGAGAGAGAATAAGCAGGGATGATTGAGGACCGTTAGCGATGAGCCAGTGTCGGGATGGAGAGGTGGCTGCCCTAGAAATAAAAGCAGGAGAAAGAACCGGGTAGAACTTGGTCGGAGTAAGAAAGGAGAAACAAAGTCTGTTTGCTGTTCAGAACACCTGCTCCTTCCCAGGCCGCGAGCTCTGATGATGAAAGAAGCTGGTTAGCTTTGCTCTCTGCAGGGATTTCTAGGTCTCTAAGCACAGCTCAATGCCAGAAAATTGACACAGGTGTCTACAAAGAAGAGAAATTAGTGCAGATAGCTTAATACGAGTTTGTTTTTCCCACAGAGCTGCGGATAGGGGGTGCAGAAAACAAGATTCAAACCGCAGAAAGCTACACGCTATTGCTAAGATTTCATTTATTTAGCAGGTGTACCGAGTACCTCCTTAGCGTTAGTCCCTGCTGATACTATGCGTTAGACTGGGTTTCAACCTGGAGATACTTATAGTTCGAGAGACTTGGGAAGAATCAGCTTCACATTTGAGAGACTGATTTTAAATGACGAATATGATTAAGTCCACAGCTTTTTTTTTTTTTTTTAAATTCAGAGCTGAGGACCGAACCCAGGGCCTTGCACTTGCTAGGCAAGCACTCTAACACTGAGCTAAATCCCCAACCCCAAGCCCACAGCTTTTGAGGGTCAATCTCTTTTGGTATAAGTGAGAAAATTCTTGCTGAAGTTTACCCACACATAAAATGGGAATACTGGATCTGAACTATGGTTACTGTGCCATGCATAAATGACAGCTCTAAGGTGCGTTGGGTTCACCTGAAGGACTTAGCTAAAGGAAGCTTGGTGTGATGGCAAGCACCTGTGGTCTCAGTAGTTCAGGCAGCTAAGGCAGAAGGATTGCATGAGTGTAGGAATTTGAGATCAGCCTGGGTAACATATTAAGATCCTGTTTCAAAAAAAAGGTTTATTTATTAATACTGAAAAAAAAAAAAAGATAATGGCTGCAACTTTGGTAGGATCTGTGGTGGCTTTGTGAACTAATTGATGAAGAATATGAGCTGATGTATTCCCTCCCATAGGTGTGGGAACGAGCAGTTCTTCTCTGTGGAACCTGATGGGCAATGCCATGGTGATGACCCAGTATATCCGACTCACTCCAGATATGCAAAGTAAACAGGGTGCCTTGTGGAATCGGGTGGTAAGAGGCTTCCTGTGTTAGGACCCTGAATGTCCTAAAAAAACTCAGAAGTGACTTTGAGTTTACCATCTTTTCCCAATATTCCATCTTCTAAAGATAATAAAAGTCTTTAGAGGGCTGGAGACATGGCTCAGTGGTTAAGAGAGCACTGTCTGCTCTTCCAGAGGACCCGGGTTCAATTCCCAGCACCCACAGCTTACAAAACCAGTTCCAGGTCACCCGACACCCTCACGTAGACATACACACAGGCAAAACACCAATGCACATAAAGTAAAAATAAATAAATCATTAAAAAACGTAAAAGTCATTTCAGAGATAATGGTGAACTTCATAATAAAGAAATCAGATATTTCTCTGTTGCCCTGTTGTTAGAGCAAATAATTCAGTTTTTCATTAGCCTGACATACCATGTTTTGGGATTTAATAGCTTAAATCTTATTTAATTACTTTGTAAAACAGAAAACTATTGTTTGGTTGTGCTCTTACTGTTTTTGTCATTTGCTTCTTGTCAGTAACCCAAGGTGTCCTTGAACTTGGTAATAGCCCAGGCTGGCCTCAAACCTGTGATCCTTCTGATTCAACCTCTCTACTCTGGATATGGTACTATACACTTGTAGTTGCTGTTACTCTGGGGGGGGGGGGGGGGCGCTAAGGCAGGGGGATCAGTTAAGTCCAGAAATTCAGCCTCAGCCTGGGCAACATAGTGGGATACTACCACTAAATAAATAAATGCTAAGAAGCATTAAGAAATTCAAGCCGGGCGGTGGTGGCGCACGCCTTTAATCCCAGCACTCAGGAGGCAGAGCCAGGCGGATCTTTGTGAGTTCGAGGCCAGCCTGGTCTACAGAGCGAGATCCAGGAAAGGCACAAAGCTACACAGAGAAACCCTGTCTCGAAAAACCAAAAAAAAAAAAAAAAAAAAAAAGAAATTCACCCAGGCGGTGGTGGCGCACGCCTTTAATCCCAGCACTTGGGAGGCAGAGGCAGGTGAATCTCTGTGAGTTCAAGGCCATCCTGGTCTACAAAGCGAGTTCCAGGAAAGGCACAAAGCTACACAGAGAAACCCTGTCTCGAAACCCCCCCCCCAAAAAAAAAGAAAAGAAAAGAAAAAGAAATATATAAATCCCCACCTTTAATCCCAGCACTCAGGAGGCAGAGCTAGGAGGATCTCTGTGAGTTCGAGGCCAGCCTGGTCTACAGAGCAAGATCTAGGACTGGCACCAAAACTACACAGAGAAACCCTGTCTTGAAAAACAAAAAACAAAAAACAAAAAGAAAAAAGAAAAAAAGAAAGGAATACATAATACATATATCCCAAACTTAATCCTAGTAGCCTTCCTTTGTTTCAGTCAAGAGTTTAAGTTTCTATTTCAGTATGACAATCACTTTGAGCTATTCTAGTCATTGTGTTTGTCCTCTGGACCCTTTCTAGTTGTCTTCCTTGAGGTATGATGGCAAGAAGTGAGCACCTGACATGGCTGCTCTGTGATTTTGTTCAAGTGTAAGATGATCCTTTTCGTTTTCCAGGTCCTTCCTAAACATTCACAGTCCTGTTACTTTTAGGGATGACTTTGGCATCCATTGATATTTTCTCCTGGGCTCCTATAAATGAGGGTGGGAAAATCTTACACTCCCATGGTTTTTCTCATTAGCTGTAGATGCTGTGAGTGGATCTCGTAAAAGAGGACTTTCTTTTCCCTGTTCATTTTTCTCTAACTAAGAGTTCTAAAGGAGCAGAGGGCTAAGAGCACTTGTTCTGTGAGCCATCTGCATAGGCTGGCCCCGTAACCTAGATTGTAGTGCTGAGCTCAATTATGGGGCATGGCAGAAGATGCTAGAATCAGTTGACTGACTTGGATCCTAAATCCAATTTGGTTACCCAGCTACCATGAGCCCTAGGCAGGTCGCTTAGCCTCTCAGTTTTCTGTTAAACAGCCTTCACCTGTTAAATTGACTTCATGAGACTGTTTGGCTTGCCTGTCTGAGTTGTCAGATGGTGGGCATGAAAAGGCTTGGTGCAAAATTTGCTACAAGAGTAACAGAAATATATGCTATTATTAGACCTGCTCTCAGTTGCATCGATGCACAAGGATTAATGCCTTAATCTATAAGATTCTCTGATACCTATATTCTCAACAGAATGAAACCAAGGAATTATTTTTGAGCTGTTTGAGTAGGGTACATAGTTTGTGCAAGTGGTTCTCAAATTTGGCTGTCCACTGGAGTTTATGCCTGGATCCCATCCCAGATTTAATTGGAATAGCTTGCAATTTGGTCATTGGGTCTCCCCCTCCCCCAAGGTTTCTCTGTATAGCCCTTGCTGTCCTAGAAATTGCTGGAGACCAGGCTGGCCTTGAACTCTGAGATCCGCCTGCCTCTGCCTTCCGAGTGTTGGAATTAAAGGCATGTGCCACCACTACTGGCTAGGTCACTGGGGTTTTCAAACATGCAGCAAAGTTTCAGAACCACTGTTAAACATCACCCTGAGCAAAACTATATAGCATTGTGATACCCAAGGCCAAGAATTAGTGGCAAATACCTCCTGACTCTATTCTCTGCCTTGCCTTCTTCCCAGGGCTATCGTACTGCCCCTGGCTGCAGGACAGCTTTCTGCCACTGAAGTCTTTCTTGCCCTGAAAGCTAAATGAAACAGCAGAGAGATAACCCAAAATGAAAAGACAGAATAGGGCAGACTATTGGAGATATCAGGGCTCCCTGCTGTGAAAAAGTGTCCAACCTCTCTTCATTTTGACTCTGTATTCCTAATGCTAATTCTTTTGGATGATGTCCCAGGAATTAAAAACAAACAAACAAAAAACTGAAAATGATCAAGCCTTGTGTTGCTCAAGGCCCAGAACAGGCTTTTGGAAAGCCTTTGGCTGAACCTGGCCAAACCCGGCTGAACCCTTCCCTTCTTTCTTCACAGATTTTCACTAGAGCCTCCCCGAGCCAAATATTGTACTCACTGTGTTCCTCCTGAAAACACTAACTGTGCTGAACACTTAGCCAGCCACTCACCGCTTCTCTGTTTTTATAAGGTTTTGATACACAATTCTAAAACTGGACAGAAGTCTGAGTAACACCCATCTCATTAGTGTCCCCCCACCCCCAAGAGGCTGTCCCAGTGGAAGGGGATGGCATTTGCCCCTGGCACACTTATGCTTCCTGGCCATGGGCACAAAGGTTTTGGGGATTGTTGCTTACTATTTGTTCTCTTGGGAACTCAAGCTTGCCCCTCAGCTTGGCCAAATGCCAGCTTTAGCTAATTAGGGTTCTTCATAGCATCTGCTAATTACCCCTGAAAACCTCTTAGCTTTTCTTACTCTTTTTTTTTTTTTTTTAAATGAATGAGGGTTTGACCTTTCTTTGAATCCCAGCTTTTTAGAGTCCTTCTGTCAGAGGAATAAGCTTCAGTTGCAAACAAGTATTAAGTCAACCCTCTTTACCCAGTTGACTGAGACACACTGCTGGGTAGATGTCAATCATGGGAGACTAACATGCCTTTTCCAGCTTGCATGTACTATCCTGTTCTGGAAGATGTGAGGATAATCAGATGGTTTACTTAACCTTTTATACACAGTACCTTAAACAGTTGAATGGCTCAGTCTGTTTAGTCTTATGGCAGGAGTACTTCCAAAGTCTTAGGTATCATTTTAACTTTAGCCTTGTTACCAAAGCCGCTTTCCAAGTCTGTAGATTGCTGCTGAGGGCTAATGGGTTTCAAATTTCACGCTCCTCCCTTACACCTCTGTCTTCCTCATGTTAGCCCTGTTTCCTGAAAGACTGGGAGCTGCAGGTGCACTTCAAGATCCATGGACAAGGGAAGAAGAATCTGCATGGAGATGGCCTGGCAATCTGGTACACAAAGGATCGGATGCAGCCAGGTATTAGGGACCCTGGGTTGCTTCTGCATGGGTGTGTCAGGCCTGCTTATTCCTGTGACCTCTTTTTGAGAAGGGCCCTTCTAGTTTTCTCTCTCTTTTCATGTCTGTAAATGAACATTAGCCCATTGAGTCTCTAAAATGGGGTTTTGAATCCTAAGCAGTCTGAACTTGGCTCATCCTGCGATGATTTCTTGCTTGTTGGTTTCTTCTGTGTTTCCCTGTGAAGCCTAGCCATTGGCTGGCTGAATGCACTGGCTCTCATGAACACTGGAGGCCAGTGAGCTGGTTTCTTCTGAACATCCACACTCAACAGTCTCAGCAATTGAGTTAAGAGAAGAATTTTGTTTTCCTTGCTGTTGTTGGAGTCAGTGCTCCAAGTGGATGGCAGGCTGAACCTGATTTGACCTGATCTCTTGCAGCGAGAAATAGAACTTGGGAATTCAGTTCTCTCTTGGGGGCATAATCTTCACCGGGTGTTTGTGAAGCAGAATTCTGTAGGTAGGAGTGTCTTAGCAACCAGTTTGGATCAGGGAGCTACTGTAGTACCAAACAAGGTTGCAGTGGCCTTCCCTCTTTTCCTGCCTTCAGCAACAGCCAACTTGAGCTGTTTAGTGGGCCCAGCTGTCGGTCATGCACTTTGCTGGATGCTTTTGTGTGTGTGTGTTCATCGTAGGAAATGCTTGGGTCATTTGAAGATCACCGTTTCCTCTGCCATATAAGATGTTAGCCCTTTGTCAACTTCTGGCTTTATGTCATTGTTCATCATCTCTTCTCTCTCTCTAGGGCCTGTGTTTGGAAACATGGACAAATTTGTGGGGCTGGGAGTGTTTGTAGACACCTATCCCAATGAGGAGAAGCAGCAAGAGGTAATGGCGAGTGTCAGAGCTTAGGGCAGCCACACTGATCTATCTCACAGTTCTTTCCCTCAGGGCAGTGTGCAGGAAGAGACGGGAGTGACAGTGAGGCCCCATCTGTTGACCTTCCAAAGTTGATGTCCTTGGCATTTTTGTTGTTGCTGTTTTCCTGGAGAGGACTGTTTGTGATCCCAGCAGTCCTTTAGGAATAATGTCACATGGGGTGCTTTTTCTATAGTGCCTGCAATGTTCTCACTCCTTTCCATAAGGTAGCCCCTGGAATTGAGCACATGTGACTGGTGGTGTCTTGGCTCCTAGGTTAGGGCCAGAGCAAGGGGAAAGATGAGTGCCTGGTACTTTTGACCATTAATGTGTACTCTCTTTGGCCACTTGCCCTGTCCAGCATCTTTAGCTTCTTTTGAGGCAGGTCCTGTCACTTATAAGGAACGGTGTAAGAAAAAAGTTGTGAAACCACAGCATTTATTTATAATAATAAGGTCTCACTATGTAGCCCAGGCTGACCTTGAACTAATCATAATCTTCATCCTCAGCCTTCTGAGTCCTGGGATTATAAATGGGGCCACTACACCTGCCTCAAATCTAACATCCTGTTGGAACCCAATGTCTAGACATCACAGAGCTTATTGACCATCCCTGAGGGTTCTCTGGCACTTCCTTAACTGGCACAGGACTATATCCTCTCTCTCCTGTGGCATTGTCATCAGATGGTAGAAAAATGGCAAGTTGTTACTGGGTGCCCTACAGAAGGCAGAGTTGGTAATGGAGATGGCGATCACTTATTTTCCCCCAAGGGTTTATCAGGAAAAGTTTAAAATGTGACCACTATACATGCCACACTCAGGTGTAACAGTCAGAATTTCCCATTGTTCACTTTAGAGGAGCTGGAAAGTGAGACCTGTGTTAGGTGAGTAACCGCCTGTGGGTCAGTTAAAGGTGTTTCCATGTCTCCTCTGGGCTCCTCTTTGTTCCACGTACATCACACCCTTGCTCGATGCCAGGGCCTGGGAACTCACAAGACCAGAATAGTCTCTGTGCTCTGAAGTGTGGAGATTGGTGCAGACTCCGGGGCACTTTGAGAAGACACACTAGACTCATCTAATCATGATGTGGCAGTAGTGGTGGCCATAAAGCCCTCCTCCAGGAAATATCATTTACAGTGAGGTCTGCAGGATAAGGAGCTAGTGTTTGAGGATGAGGGAAAGCATATATTGAGGCACTCGGAGGGGTATAAGAAGGACAGGGGGGTATAACGAAATACAGAGCATCAAATAGAGGCTAGAAAGAAAGCTGCCAGCAGCCTTGTTATGTTACACATTTTGGGAGCTGCCTTCTTGACTGTTCATTCTCCTCCCTCTTAGGCACATCAGCCACACTGAGACTGTGTGCCTAAGTGGTTGGTCAGCATTGAAACAATCACAATGTGATCCCTCTTTAGCAATGACTAAACATAGAGAAGCTGTCTTGTTCAGGGCAGCAGCTATTGTAGGCTCTACCCATTCTGAGGCTTTCCTTCAATTCTGATGCTTTCCACCTGTCTTCCTGTCCGTTGAGTTCTTTCTTGAGAGAAGAGACATTAGGTAATTTCATATGTGTGATTTCAGTTCTTTGAGCTTCTATTCAGTCCAGAGAATGTAGAAAATTGTCTTCTTTTCCATGTCTTGGAGGATAAGATCAAATATGTTTTGTCAGTGGTGTGGTTTACTCTTATGTGCAGGGGTGCCAGGCATTGTTCCACATGTATTATTTCCTTGTAGAGACTCTTTGTTACAGTTATTACCATCTCTGCTTTGTGGGTAAGAAACTGAAGTGCAGAAGAAAGTTTGTAAAGCTTGTTGGTGTCATAGATGTGACTCCAAGAACTCCACTTCCATTATTTTGGCTTCTTAGGTATGGTAAGAAAAGCAGAAATGACAAAAGAAAGCCCAGGCAAACTGGGCTCCATCAAAAGTAGTAACTTGGGACTGGAGAGATGGCTCAGCAGTTAAGAGCAGCAGGTCCTCCTGCAAAGGGCCTGGGTTCAGTTCCCAGTGCCCACAAGGTGGCTCATAGCCACCTATAACTCTAGTTATGTGGCTCCCATGTCCTCTTCTGACCTCTGCTGGCATGCATATGGTGCACAGACAGGCATGCAGGAAGACACTCAGACACATAAAATAAATTTAAAATTAAAAATTTTGTTTGTTTGTTTGTTTTTGAGACAGGGTAGTTTTGGTGCCTGTCCTGGATCTTGCTCTGTAGATCAGGCTGGCCTCAAACTCACAGAGAGCTGCCTTTCTCTGCTGGGATTAAAGGCGTGTGCCACCACCGCCTGGCCTAAAATTAATTTTTTAAGGTAATAATTTATGTGTTTCAAAGCACACTATCAGGAGGAGGGCCGGTATCAGAGCTCAGTAGAGTGTTTGTCTCATGTACAAGGCCCTGGATTCAGGCCCCAGCACTGAGAGCACACCAAGAAAGTGAAATCACCTGTAGGGTGGGAGAAATACATGCAAATTGTACTAACCCATTTTTAGAATATATAGAGAATTATCATATAAATAACTTGTAACTTTAAAAAAAGCCAATAAAATAATAGGCAAAGGGTCTGAATAGATATTTATCTGAAGGAGATAAATAAATGGCCACTAAACATGAAAAGATGTTCTATGTCATTAACTTTTGGAGACACAGATGAAAACCTCAACCACTAGAATGCAAGTGAAGAGATGTACATGTTGAAAGGATATGATGTCATTTGGAACCCACATATACTGCTTGTGGACGTGTAAAATGATATAGTTGGAAAACAGACATTTCTTCAGATGGCTGAAGATAGAGATTCTCTTATCCCGTGAATCCACTTGCATATGTATAGCCAGAGAAATAAAAGCATCCATGAAAAAGCTTGTCCACAGATGTTCATAGCAGCCAAAACAGATACCCCTCAGATGTTTATTAGCTGAAATCCTCAGTGAGAACAGAAGTATTGCTGTGGGTTCCAGTATGGGTGACTTGGTTACAAGAGAAAAGCCAGTCACAAGAGTCCTGCTTATTGTGTGAGCCCATCCCTGTGAACTGTGGTCAGGTCCATAGAGACACGGTAGATGGATGAGTGGTTGTCAGAGCTGGGGCTCCCAGGTTGGGAGGGGGACAGTGACTACCAGTGGGTACGGAGTTATGGAGTTATAAAAATGTTCAGAAATTATGATAAGCATCACCCTAACTTAGCACATACCAAAACCCACTTTGGGTGGATGAGCGGTATATGGATGATGTCTCAGTGTTACTGTTGATGTAGAAATGGTTGAAAGATGAATCCCTAGCCTTTTGGCACCTTTTGGTCTGCAGCCTGTCCACTGATGAACATGTTTCCCATGTGAACCCAGATGTTGGTGAGCACTGTGGGGAACTTGGTAGCACCCTTGGAGCACAGATGTCTTGATTCAGTTGAAATCGGAGTCTAGTGGCAAGAGACTTCCTGGAAGAACAGAAGTACAGCCGTTGGCAGTCTTGGCCCTCATTCTGGTTTGTGACCTGTTTGAGCCTCACCCACAGGAGGTAGAAGTAGCTGGCTGGACGGTGAAATGAACAGCTCCCGGGCTGTCCCGACCAAGCTAGCTTGGAAGTGTGTTTGAGGACTTCCCATATACCTATAGAGCTGTATATACATATATATGCATTTGTTTTTCCTCCTTTTAACTGGAAGAAAATTGACACCAATGTCTTAAAGACACGTTCTAAGTACCTAACACTGCTTCCCCACCCCCAGACACACACACAACACACACACACACACACACACACACACACACACACATACATACAACACAGGCATACAAACACACATGTATGTACACCTTGTGTTCCCTTAGTCCTTATCTTGATAATGAAACTAATGCTATTTGGTCTTTTTCACTTTTGGCCCAGGAAATCTTTTTCTTTCTCTTTTTTTTTTTAATTTTTTTTCTTTTCTTTCTTTCTGTTTTTTGAGATACGGTTTCTCTGTGTAGCCCTGGTTGTCCTGCAACTCACTCTGTAGACCAATCTCAGAGATCCACCTGCCTCTGCCTCCCAAGTGCTGGGATTAAAGGCATGCGCCAGCAACATCCAGAGTTTTCTTGTTACAAAACTTAGCTATTGGTGAAATTATTAAGGCCACTCCACATAGTTAAAAGGAAAGTTTATTAGTGGTGTAACTTACAAATGAAGGGATAGGTAGGTCGCGGGGTCTGGGGAAGGTGTATCGCAGTCCAGCGGTGTTCTCTGGAGCTCTGCTTGGCCCACCTCCACCGTCCAGGGTCCAGGAACAAAGAGAGCTCCGGTCTTCAGGGTCCTCCCTTGGCCCCGCCTTGTAGGCGTGACAGTTACCAAAGCCTCAGTAAGGTTGGAACTTCCAGATCAAAGCTGGAATGGCTACCCACTACACTTAGCTGTGACTTCATTTTTTTTTTTTTTTCCTTCAGTTTCCTAGCTCATGATGATGTTCAAGTATGTAAGTGTCATTTAGGGGACCTGGAAGTACCACTTTTTCCTTACTTTTTGTTTGAGGAGTTGAGAGAGTGGAGACAAGAGTCACTGAGTTAGTGGGAGGTTATGGGCTTTGGGGCTGATTGCTGCTGCTCTGAGTGTCATGGGCACTGCTCAGTTCCTCCACATTCCTTATGTGTGGGTTCCTGCTAAAGAGTACCGCATGCAGTGTGGGGTTTGGAAAGGGATAGGTGCAGCTAGAAGTGGCGTTGGATGCTGAATTTTCTGTGTGAGGGGTTATGTGCATGCCTTGGGAGGAGCTTGGCTCCCAGCGCATCCAGTAGAAGAGCCGTTTGTTTTGTTACTACAGAAAATCCAGAGCAGGAAAAAAAGACAAATCTACACAGACATCTTTTTACAAACAAAAATGTCACATCGTGTAGCAAAGTGTCTGAAAACATAATTGTGAAACTCTGGGAGCCCAAGAGTATAAATACTAGATTCAGATTAATCTTTATTTTGAGAAAAGTTTTAGATTTATAGAT